AATTCTCGAGCAGTTGAGTTTGTAGCTGATATGAAAACAAAATCCGCTACCTCATAATCAACTTTTGAAAGAATTATCTTTTGAACTTTGTAAGATTTTTGCAAGTTCTCCGAGACTAATACATCTATGACACCATAAGATGATAGTTCTCTATCATACATTATATATCAAATATATTTTTGCAATTGTTCTTTTTCTGGTTCGGTTACTAGCACGTTATCAGGTCCTTTCTTTACCAGAAGATGATTAACATAAATATTTTCATTGCCAATAAAAAATTCTTATAGACATCTCAAGGTCTTATTTGTTATATATGTTTGCTTTTTCAGGATATCTTATTTTATCCATTGATATTTTAAATAAAATTAGACACAATTGTATTGCAATATGAATCTACTCAAAAGAATCACGTATCTTTACAACACATCATGCGAGGATATCATCGTGAAACCAAATACCAGTGGCGTAGTTACCGACGAAATTCTTGACAGTATAATCAGCATAAACGATTATGATAGAGGTGAAGCAATAAACACCATTGTTGATAAGAAAGTGTATGGAAGACAGACAACTGGTAGATACGAATCCAAATATCACATTGCAAAATAAACAAATGCTAAAATTTAATTTTACGGTTGCAGAGAATTAATTGTTCTGGCAATTGATAAATCCGTTTTCAAGCACTAAACAGCAGCTTTGCCGCCGCATAAAACGTATCAAATTCTATTCTATTTTTGTCAAGATCTTCAACCTGTTGTACAAAAGAGGAGCTATCGCGTCAGATTGAAAATCGTATCTGATATCGTTATGTAAGCCAGTAAAATGTAAATCTGTGTTACGTAGACGCGAAGAAATCTACATAAACATAATTTTACAATACGAAGTCGACCTTTAAAAAACTTTCACTAGTTGGTATCCAGTGATTAAATTTATTACTGTAACTGCGCCACATGACGAGGCTTCCATATTCGCGTTTGTTGATTACTCGTTTGATAACAAAATATATCTTGTTCAATTTTCTGCAGCTCTTGCTAGTAAAAACTACCAATTACTGGTTCTCCTGATAAATCTATCAACGAGTATGTTATATGAATCGTCATTAGAATTTAATCAACTACAAACGCCTCTCCGGTCCAGTTTGAAGTAAATCCTTTCTTCAAATAGTTTTTTTGTCAGAGAAAATCTGACTTTGTCTCCAATCTTAAATTTGTGTCGATTATACATATTTTCGTTTGCAAGAATCGGATTTTCAATAACATTGTTTGGTGACATTTTGATAGATTTATATTTCGTGTCGTTTGTAATCAGATACTATCTGCGGAAGATCATCAATATATCTTTGTGTTATTCGTTGAAAGATGTTTATCGATATGTCCGTTTAGTGTGCGATGAAATCGTTCAACAATGACGCCTTTTCTTTAGTTTCCTGTAACATATTTTTAATTTTATTTTGCTCTCGAGTCCCAACTTATATTTTGTTCAAATTAATCCTTGCATTAGCTTCCTGTCAAATAGTTATCGCAGATTTACCAGTTTCATATCATGGAGATCGTTCAGCATTATTTTATCACAGCCAGGCTTATCATGTTCGTTGTCGGGACGCTCTGTGTCTCTATTGTAAATATCGTGGCGCATTGCTATCGCACCAACTTGATCAGAAGTTTCTTGTCCAGACAGTAGATTATCATTTTCGTCTAGTTTTTTAGTGGATTATATGGCCCAGTTTCATTTGTGGCCAGGCAAAGTCCATCCTTCTTTTGGTTTCGGTAATTTACCGATAAGTTTGTGCATGTCAATACCAGCGCCAATTGCTTCTCGGCGAATGCAGGATTGGCAATAGGTAATAATTTTATCTTGTTGGATGCATAAGACTTATTGGCAATCACAATGACAACAACTTTGTTGTTGTATTGCATCTTTCATTGTTTTATTTTTGGTCAGATAAAACTAGTTTAGTCATAAACCAGAATAATTTTATCGCAAAGACTTTGTCGTCGCATAATTATGTCAACACCCAGTCCACTTTTTGAGGATCACTATCGACAGACTGTTTGTTTCCCTGGTATTTCCATGAACATACTTTTCTTTTACCACAAATAGCACATATACTTTCAAGATCATTATGGATTTTGTTTTGTCTTTTCTGATCACTCGTCCATGTTAATGACGTGCAAAGCACATTAGGCGATATCAATCACCAGGTTATCATAGTTTTTACTCGGGTACCTATCAAATTGTTAAATAAACTTTAAAAATAATGAATGCCTTGATATCTGACTGACTAACATAATACAGTAGTATCCACAAGCATATGTTCCAACTGGCTATAGTTGGTTAGAGGAATAGTTTATTTTTGTGTTTTCTGAACGCTGGTTTTCTGCTGATATATTTCTTGATGAAATCACTTGAAGGAAGTCCAAACAAATCAACATAATTGCCATTGTAATAAGCTAACCAGTGAGTGCCGGATCCGTCAATAAAATCTTGTATGTATACTACACATGAAACGCTTGCTGCTGCAAGAGGTAATTCGTCTTTGGAATATACTCCGTGAAACCCATTCTAAACGACAATGTCGTGAGATTTTATTTCGTCTAATGTTTCAAAATTATTTAATGGTTCCCGGTAACAACAGACCGCGACCGATTCCCAACAGATTTTCAGCAGACTGCCGGCTAGCCCCGCTAAAAGTGAAGCGAAAGAATTAATTCTTCCGTGTTTCATTTTTTGTCATCTTTTTGTGTTTGTCTTTTTATCCACAGGCGCTGACGTTGATACCTGAGACAGCGCTTTATATCGTTGATAGTGCTACACGATATTTTTAATACCGTCTCCAGACACTGCTCTTTTAGGTGCTCCTGATACTGCTACAGATACTTCTGATAGTCCTTGTTTCCCTATTACAGGTAGTAGTTTTAGTAAAAGTGTTCTGACTATTGTTGTAAATGATGGTCAAAGAAACCGCCATTGACGACAAGGTTGTTTACAATCGTTGTTATTTGCACAATAGACAGTTTAAGAACAAACGGGATTCCATTATCAAGTTTATTGATTTGTTTTGCGTTAACGTTTGTTTGATTGATGTTTTATTCGACTTTGTCGTCGGAGATATCTTTAAAGAAACAGAACGGTGTTTAGCTACCGCTGTTGATAATTTTTAATTTGAACTTGAGTCATATATATTTCTTTGGAAATATATTTGGTTGTCATTATACTTGTTTGTCATATACTATTTTCTCGCGTTAACACTTGGATAGTCATTCATCCTTTGGCTGCGTCAATTGTCAAGAATCTATCATTGACAACTAGCGTCCAAGTAACTTCAATATCAGCTGTAGGTCCTATAGCTTGTTTGGAATGCTTTGATACGTCGAAGTAAAAGATTGGGTAAGACACACAAAACTCCTCGATAGATATTTGGCTTCTGCTATTCGCGTCTTGGTATTTTTATATTGCTTCCATCAAGGACATGTAAGCTCAGGTAAAGTTTTTTTTTGTTTTCATAATATGCAAATTTAGATTCGATTGCATGTTCGGAATACTGTTTCGAATTTATCATAGCAAATATTATTTTGACATCAGCATTATCAAATACAGTTGTTTTTCTCTTGGATATTACGTCGTTGTTGTTGAAACACAATAAGCAAATATATTTGGTAATTGTTCGTTGGGCGCGGTTGTAATATTTCACATGAACTCAGTTGTGTTAGGAATTGCTGTTTGATAATGGTTTGCATGAAACAAACGCGGTAAGGATTGATTCAAGATCTGTTGATCTACTTACCGATGGATCAACTAAAAGCAACCATATCGCAAGCGTGGAAATTGAAAACATTCCTTCAGCTACTTCAGCGGCATGCATTATGCTATCGCTTTGTTCTGCCCTATCAATATTAAGTGTCTTTTAGCCCACAAAAACCTTTGTTGTAATCGCGACAAAACCCAAATATTGTGCTCAACGGAAGCATCATTGTTATTGATCAAGATTCTGAGGTAAACGCTTTTCATTTCTCATAACCTTCGTTACAGCGTTAACGTATGTTTGTGACTGCCAATGGTATTAAATCCACTATTGCAGCTGCATCATTAGCGGCTGAATAGGCGATTAGATTATTGTTATTTGCTGCGGCATCAACATCAGCAGTACGAAATTTCCTTGATTTAGCAGTTCGAAGTGCAGTATCCTTAAACCACATCATTTTGTGGCCACCGATCTCGGAAAATCATCGCTGAACAAAACTATGTTGAATATTGTACTTGCTAAAGGCAAGTGGTGCATTGAAATATCGTCCACGGTTTGTTTGGTCAGCTGATTTCATGCGCTGCGCTTCTAAACAAGCTCCAACCGTTACTAACTAGTGCAATTTATACACTAGCTGCAATATCAGCGCCTAGCGAAGTTAAGGACATCTAACAAGGACATCTAACACAGCTTTATGCGGCAGTAAAATTACATCTTCGTTTCTGGTGTTGAAAGTTTCAACGTTAGCTTTATTTGGCTCGTCAGAATTTTCCCAGAGATACTCAACATGTTTACTCGAATTCTGTTGCTGTATCATTGGTATCAAATTCTTTGTCAAGATCAAAATAGGTTTTAAGTGACATTTACTTTGTAATCGTGACACAAAATTTTTGTCGCTAGGTTAAAATCAGCAATGCCAAGACCTGGTCTTGTTTTCTTTAAAAGGTTGCATATTACACCTTCGCCGCGTTGTGATAACAATTTCTTTGTTGAGTTTATCATTGCTTGCTTTGTATACTTGGTGCTAAACTTGAATTGCTCCTAATATTTCCCTATCAGACACTGATGTCAAAGCCGTCTGGCCTTTGATTTTATCAGCGAACTTTTGGTCAGCTGAGGTGGCAGCAGCGCGAACTGCTCGGTTGCAAAAGCTTTGCATGCGTCAATCGCAATTGGTGTCACTTTATACGCGATTCCTTGTATATTTTCGATGATCTTTGAAAAGATCTTTTCAAGAATTCCACTCACAAGTATAAACGCTCCCATGGCCTAGTGGTTAGAGAGTCCGTTTCGGATGCGAAAGTCGTGGGTTCGATCCCCGCTCGAGTCATACAAAAGACTTACAAAAATAGTATTATTAGCTGCATCGCTTCACGCTAAGCATTAAAAGGTTAATGTTAGGACTGTCGGCCAGTAGTCAGGATAATGTGACTCGGTGGGACATCATGAAAAATGTCTGCGGCATGATGCCCCAGTGCTAGACATCACTATAAACTACCACACTGCAGACATCGTAGCGATATGACTGAAAAATTGTTAAAGTTACGTTAAAAATCATAATCACATCACATCACGACCCACAAGTTTTGTTCGATAACATTTTTGCCTCATTTTTGTTCAATATTGACTTATAAAATTAATTTGATCCACGTGATCGAGCGAAGATGTAAGTAATACGCAACATTTTTTAAGGTCTACTTGTCACCCAGAATGATTTGTCAGTTGCATCGTTATGCTTGTTATCTGATTTTCAAGATTAATCGGAGAGTATAATATTGGTCGAGGAGTAGCCTATATTAACGATCCAGGAGGAACATCTGGCAACCCTTAGCTGAGTAAGATCCTGATGAAATAGAGCAATTGATAAAATTGTGTTTACTCGTATTATGTTAACTGGGACTTCATCGTAGGATACAATATATTGTACAACTGATACATATTGCTGATTTTGTTATGCATATTAACAACTCAATGCTAGTTGCAGATGAAAAATCGATTATCAAATTATTTTAACGTGATTCTGGCACTTAGCCTGTTATTGTTTGGCGTCAACTCAAAATTGTCTGCGATGGCGGAGTTCTTTATGATTAGTTTCCTTGATCGTTTCATTAAGGTCTTTTACATTATAAGCGCCTTCCGATATTGTAAACGTTGTACAAGCGCCTGGATTAAACGTGAATTCGTCGTTAACGCCTGTTTTTACGTTGGCCATTGAATGCCAAGCTGTTGCCGAAAATAATCCAATTTCTTATTATTGATTTTGGATGAAGTTGGATCGGCGGGTTGTAGTTTACACTAAAATTTTCCCTGTCGTTGGCACAGTTGACGCATAAAGAATCAAGTAATATCGTTGTTCATATTATCTAGTTTTTAATGCCTGGATAAATCTTCAACCAACCAAGTTGCTGTTTAAAATTTCGTATTCGCCTGTTGTTCGGAACCTATTTGATAAAAGATTATCGCGTATATAAATTATTTCGATGTCAATTTCCATACTGGTCTGACGAGCTTCTTTTGATGATGTCAATTACATCAGTCGGTCAATCATTTCCGTTTTTGATGTAAAAACTGACACCAAAAACAATTTGTTTCAACAATTGCGGTTTTATCACAATCTTTTTCATATTTGTTGAGAACATAAAAGTTCCGCTTACAATCTTTTACCCTGTTTCGGTATTATTCTGCTTTTTTAAGCACAAATTATGCTATTACTTTACTACGTATTTTAGCAAAAATTTTCAACAAATATGGATCTTCATCTTCATATGTTAAAATTTGACTTGCGTCACTTACTTGTCTAGTAATAAGCTTTAATATCTTAATAAATTTTTTGAAATCATTATCTGATCATTTTCTTATGTTTTCAGTGTTATCAAGCAACTCACTCTAACGTAAAATTCAAGATAATTTGCGTGCTCATCATTACTAACATCATCTTTTATTCAACCCGGTCATTTTCTATATCTCTTTTTTTTCAATTATTTCAGCAAATTCTCTTTTTTCCATCAAGTATATTAACATATTCTTATGTTTTGAGATAGTCAATTATTTTTTGTATTTTATTTTACTTTAACTTTTCAATAATTTTTTTTAACGGTTTCCTGCGCTTGTGCTTTTTGTTGTACTTTTAACTGTCCCGACAAACCTTTTTCTTGTAATATTTAAGCTGGTATGCAGACGATGTTGAAATATCTGGATGTTTACAGAGTACTGCTTAAAAAGTTTGGTTGTTTCTTTTGCTGCTTAAATTTGGGTTTGACCTTTTTAAACGCCGCTCTGGTTTCAGCAAATTTCATTAGAAAATCAATGTTTTGTTTGTCCGTTGTTAATTTCTGTACGCTTTATACAATTCTTGTAGAGAAGTTTATCGATAGAACAACAAAACATCTTTGCTGGAGCACGCTCTAGCTTATGAAATAAGAAAAGGTTTTATTTGTCTTTGGTTATTTGATGATATAATTCAATTAATTAATCATTGGTTACATCACCGCATTGCTCGTATGCAATGTTTTGCACATTAACATTATCTAGTCCAGGAAAAAAAATGAAACATGTATTTCATCGAATAAACCAGTCAACGTTATAAAACCCCTGCTCAAGATAAACATAATTACACTTTGTAACGTTAAAATGAAAAATAAACCCGTATTTTATTCATCTCATCATTGTTTTGTGGAATATCGTCAAATACAAATATTTTATGCTCGAACGAATTACGTTCGCTTACCGAAGTAAAATCTTCCAGTTGTTTGATTAAAAATTCATTTTCACCTACACCAAACGCATCGCTAAGTTTATCGTTGTGCCTGCTTAATAATTAATGTTTGTCTTGTTGTGGATTTATTGTGTAGATGTACACCCGATCATAGTTAAAAGTTGTTGAGCAAACGATATAGTAAAAGATTTGTTTTGCCAGTTCCTGTACTATCTATAATAAGATAATGACAATCTGGTAGCTCGTTATTATTTTAGTGTTTGACTAATCGTTCGGAATTAAAATTTAGCAATGGTGACGACTTTGTCGTTGACTTCGTCTTTGTTATAAAATTGTATGTTATATATTTATATAAATGAGATATTACACAAAATTCGAAACAACACTCACAGGATTCATTTTTGCTGACGCAACAACGATAACTGATACATCACCTTTAGTAAAAAAAAAAAAAACTGGTGATACAAGGATAGGTAATTTTGAGATGTCAAATCAACGAGTACGTGGTTTAGAAGTAGATTATCCACCACCAAATGTTGATCTTACTCAAGCGATAAGTTAATTGCAACTAAAACCATGGACAATAACAAACTATCATTTACAGGAGAAATGTTCAACGGTAACCTAAATGTGTCAGGAAAAAAATTATAAATTTGGAGACCGCGTATCCACCAGCAAATTTAAAATAAAACCCAAGCAGTACATAATTTGCAGTTGAAATACGTCGACGAAACAAACAAAACTGGCGGAACAGTGACAGATAATTTAATAATGAGCAACAACTGAAAATAACTGGATTACCGATAACCTCACCTCCAGCTGATGACACAGACGCTATTAGCTATGTTCAGTTAAGAGACGCAGTAATACCTTATTTAAAATTATCTGGTGGAATGATGACTGGATCGATTAAAATGGGAGGTAAGTTGATTTATAATACTCAACCTGGCAATACAACTCTTAGCAACGATGATTGGATGACCAAAGTTCGATTTGTCAGAGACAACTTTGTAAAATTAATCAGAGGTATAATGTCAACACTTAATTAAACGCAATTTTACCAATGATAAGTGAAATACGTGAATTTGATCCAATCATTCTTGACAAATTTATGGCAATAATAAAAAATCTTGACGAGGAAATTGATAATTTCAATGATGTTGAGCGATAAAAGTTGTTTGAAGAAATCGAATCAACAAGGTTGATAGAAAAGATTGATTCTTACTACGACATGAGTGAAGAAGACGAGATTCCACTTCCATTGCTTTTGCAAACACTTTTTGTTTTGCCTGTCTCACTAACCTGATGGTTGTGGTTAGGGTGGGTTTAAAAAGTTGCAATAGGGGCCTCAAAAATGCGTCTTTTTATTTGTTTAGAGAATAAATGAGGTCTCTGCGCCAGAATCCTTGTTAATTTCTAATAACAACATAACAGACATTTGGTGTACATCACTAACTACAAGATATAAATTTAGTGTACATCATTAACAATATAACGAAAATTTAGTGTACATCAATAACAAACATTTAGTGTACGTGACTAACAATATAACATATAAATATAAATTTAGTATACATCACTAACAAAATAACCGAAATTTAGTGTACATCACTAGCAAATAACATTGTACATGTGCTGGTAGTTTTGGAAGTTTAATCTTACTCCACAACGTTGTCAACCTTGTAAATATATTTATGCTTCATGTTTAATATTTGGACATGACGAGTTGGAAACTAGGCATGACCTCTCTCTCTCTCTCTCTCTCTCTTACAAAAAAGTCATTAAAAAGGCCTTATCTGGGTCGCCCAGTTTAAAAAAAATTGAGAATCATCCATTTTCCATTTTTTATAAATTAAAACTATTGTAAACTCGTTTTGTGTATCTAAGTTATTTTGTGTGAAGTTATTTATATATTCCATTTATTATTATTACTATTTTAAAAGCAGATTCCTTTCAATCATTACCAATCTTTGTTTTGTGCTTATTTATTCCATAATAACTTTATATACTTACTAAAATACTAAAATTTACGGCTGTCAAAATTTTTTGCGTAAAAACAATTGGAGAACTTGCGTTTCTTCATAATGTACATTTCACTCAGGGTATACATTTTTAAAGTTTCGTTCAGCCGTTTTAAAAATCTGGAATATAACATGTTACAACTTTATAATTTTAACTTATTACATGCCAAATTCCTTAGTTTAAAAATAGAGCAAAAATTCGTTAGATAAAAAGATATAAAAAAACGAGGGTTCATAGCAGATATTTTCGCTTCTCGTGTAAAACTTTGGGCAATAAAATGTAATATGGGAAAAAATGAAGGACAAGTTATTGTGTGCGTGCAGAATTGTAACATTTAAAAAACAAATTTGGTTCTTACAAACTTATGGGCTCGTTCAATAATGTAGTAAATTTAACACTGGTCTTCGAAAACTGATAAATGGAATTTAGCTCGACTAATACTCAGTACGTTTGAAATACAACTTGCTTGTTTTAGTAACAGTCTTAAAATCTAAGATTTAGCATGCCCAAAATACTAAATCCCGACTCACCGCTTCCACTTTGGACCATAATACAGAGTGTTAGGGTTGTCCAATGTGCAGCATTTGTCACGG